GCTTCAGAATACATGTAAAAAAAATATTAATAATTAATAAATACAATTAAATAACTATACAATACATGCTAAATATACATTATTAATAGAAAAATATATTTGTAGTTTGATTAAATATACAGTCAAACCTAAATTCAGACACCTTCAACATTTCTCACATTATCACAGTTTATTCGCTGTAGTTTAGAAAATGGTAATAAAATAGTGGATATTTGACTGGTTTTGTCCGTCCTTCTGTTAGACTCTCACACATGAATTATGTTGAATATCTGTCAGCTGTTAAATTTAACTACACAATTAGATAATACCAGTTTAGCTCAACCAGTGACCAAGCAATGCTTCATGTTGTTCAGTGTGTGTGTAAAAAGAGCATTAGCAGTTACAGAAAACACACTTCAGCAGAACATGATCAGCTCAAAGTGAATCATTTCTGGTCCCAAATGTGTATAAATGTCACTGGTAGTCTCTGTATGAAGAATATTTGGGTATAATATGTCAGTTTACTTTATTTTGCTCACATCACTTACATAAATTAACTATAGTGTCCTGATCACACTAGTGGAAAAATATCAAAAATTATTTCTGGTGTCTGAATAATATTTGGTTTGACTGTGAGTGACACATTTGTTGCATCAAAATAAAACAATCACCGTTGCAGTTCAGTAATAATAAAAGTAATTAAGAATAAATGTATAGATATGTATTATATTGCACATTTATATTATAATTCCTATATTTAATGCATCTGCTGCACATGAGTTTATTTCGATCAGAGTAAGAGATGATAGTTTTAATCTGACCTTTCCTGTAGTCCACCGCGTCCAGGTGTCTCTCCATACACGCCGGGGCGTTTACAGGGATATTCCAGCAGTTATCCTTAATCATTATGATCTCGAGTTATTATCAATATATCAATATCACACTGAACAACACATGCAAACTCCCGCAATGAATGAAAAAGACACGCGCGTGTGCGGCACTTCCGCTTCCAGCGCCGAAGACACTTCAAAATAAAAGCTGGAAAAATTAAACGACCTTCAAAATAAGAGCCGCTAGTCTCTCATTGACTAAAATTCTAATAATAATATAATATCAATTATTATTATCAATAATATATATATATATATATATATATATATATATATATATATATATATATATATATATAATATATATATATATTATAAATTACTATATGTAATTATGCTTATGATAAAAATAACGAAACATGAAATATCAAATGTATTTATAAATTCTCGCATTTTTCTCCTCTAGGTGTCGCGCTAGCGCCCGTTTTACACTTTAAGACTAATATTTATCAATGAGATGCGAGGAAAATATGTATTTTTAGTACTTTGCGTTCTCTCGCAAAACTTTTGAGAAAACTGGTGATGAAAATAATATGAGATTCAAAAAACATATATATTTCAGTGTTTTTGCGAACGCACCCTTTCTCAGAGAGAACTCAAACGCTTTGAAATGTAATTTTTTTCCTTAATCCAAGATTTATTCCAGTGATTGCAGTTAAAGGGATACTCCACCCCAAAATGAAAAATTTTCAACACACTCAACACACACATGTCTCTGATTTAATGAGACCACTGGGTCACAGATTCAGCTCAATTCTGTTCTATTCTATTCTATTCCAGTTCATTCTACTCTACTCTAGTCTATTATATTCTACTGTGTTCTGTTCTAATCTATTCTATTCCATTTTATTATATTCTACTTTACTCTATTCTACTCTGTTCTATTCTATTCCATTATATTCTACTCTATTCTATTATAGTCTATTTGATTCTATTCTAGCGTATTCTATGCTAGTCTGGTCTATTCTATTCTAATTATTCTAGTCTATTCTATTCTAGTGTAGTCTGGTCTAGTCTATTCTTAGATGAGCAGCTATATTAAAGAAGGAAAGGTAACATCCCATAATACCCTAGAAATCATGGCTACCACCCACCTTGGCAACAATATAGAACACCTTAGCAACATCTTATAATACCCTGGAAACACCCTGCCAACCACCCACAACACCTTAGAAACCACACATAATACCATAGAAACCCCCTGCCAACCACCCAGAACAACTTAGTAAACACAAAGAACACATAAGCAACCACTCATCAGACCCTAGAAACAAACGAGTAGTATTAACATAAACCATGTGTCAAAAAAGGTGTTTTATGACTTTGATTTATGGTTCTGAGGTTCCCCTGTCTCTGATTTATGATGGGTCGCTGACAGGCTCCGGTATGTCTAGGCTGCGCGACGCCATGTGACATCCTCCTGCGTTGACATCCTGGCCAGAGGTGTAAAAGAAAGGTGTCTGGCCCTTGGCCTTCCGGTTTTATTGGCCGTCTACCTGCGCGATATAGGTGTTATGTCGTTGTGTATTCTGTCTGCTGGGGAGGCCCGTTTTCACACTTCGCCAAAAGCTGCGTGTATAAATGTGTGTTGAACGCGAGCACAGTCACTGAAGCGTACTAGTGTGTGTGTCTCGTGTCAAGCATCACCGCTGTTTATTCTCGTTCTCAAACTATTTTCCAAGCCATATTGTGTTGTTGGAATCGCGAGTGCAAGAAGATGGAATCCAGTCTTAACAGTAAGTATTTTTTTATTATTTACTAACATTGTTAAGGATGATTATTTATTTATATGAGTGTCGCTGTTCTATTGCGTTACTTAAGGTTTTATCTGCCCGCTTCAGATGGTGATAGTTTGAGTCTCTTCGATCTTGTTGAGGAGATTAATTTCCTAAATCAAGCCGGCGGTACGTATAATTATGTTTAAATGTTGCATACGTTGTGTGTGTGTGTGTGTGTGTGTTTGTGTGCGTCTGTGTGACGGATGATGTTTTTGTTTTGTTTTCGCCAGGAGGCGTGGCTAGACCTAGCACAACTGGTGCTACGCACAACGCTGTTGCCTCTTCACGAGCGATCACGGAAGCACTTGTGCCAGGTATTGTTAAATGTTGTTACACCCGTGTTTAAACAGTGTTGTGGCTGTGTGAAAATATCTTATCTTCTCTGGGTTTTTTTGTTTTTACCAGGGCCGAAACGCGTAACTATCAAGGCCTTAGTACACGGACCACAGCGAAGCTGCGAGTCTCCTAACGTTGGAGTTATTCCCCTGGGTAAGTGCATTGTAATTTGGCTTTATCAGACAATATTATGCTGCTATGGTTTGTTGATTTTGTTTTAAAACTTTAACACATGTATTTACAGATGGTTTATCAAACGTTGTGAGCAATGTCGGTGTGTCTGAACGTGTGAATGATCCAGATAAGCCTAGTTTGAAGGGCATAGTGGCGAAACCGAAAAATAAGTTGAAACGTAAAGCTGCAGTGGTGTCCCATGCGGACGCAAAAGCTTCTGCTGATGGGTCATCGAGAGACGTACCACAGACATCTGCCCCAAAAAAGCCAAGACGATCAGCTGTTAAAAGTAAGAAATGAACAAAAGCTGATGGATTGTTTTCTGTTCACACTAAATCAGAAAGATAAATATTGTTTATTTGAATGTGATAGTGAGAGGTCGAATGTGTTTGTGGATGTATAATGTGCCAATACGCTAGTTTAGAACTGTTGTTATCATACATTAGCATTAATTGTTGGAAAAAAACATAAAACACAAAACCTGCATATCTCTTAGAGTAGATGATTATTTATAATTTTAGGTGACACCATTGGAGAACTGTGTGTAAAAAAAAAAAAAAAAAAGTGTAGACATGATGATTTTAGGCTGCTGCGCCATTCCATATTAGCATGGTCTTGTTTGATTGTTTGTTTATATATATATATATATATATATATATATAGAGAGAGAGAGAGAGAGAGAGAGAGAGAGAGAGAGAGAGAGAGAGAGAGAGAGAGAGAGAGAGAGAGAGAGAGAGAGAGAGAAAGAGAATTTGACACTACGTATTGTTTTTTAATGTTACATTAGTACCAGACTGATTTTTATTTTATTTTTAGTCTTAGAAAATATAGTTAATATTAATATTACTGTTATCATTATAATATTAACACACATTTGTACTAACTTTTTTTGTTTGCACCCTTTTCTACTTCTTAACAGAGGTGGTCGTAGTTCCCGATATAAATGATGTTCAGAGCTGGAGTGAGGGTCTGATACAATCGTGCGGTGTTTCTTTAGGGTCGTTTGTAAATACGCAGCCGTCCCACGATTGTATATATAATTATACGTACCGCCGGCTTGATTTAGGAAATTAATCTCCTCAACAAGATCGAAGAGACTCAAACTATCACCATCTGAAGCGGGCAGATAAAACCTTAAGTAACGCAATAGAACAGCGACACTCATATAAATAAATAATCATCCTTAACAATGTTAGTAAATAATAAAAAATACTTACTGTTAAGACTGGATTCCATCTTCTTGCACTCGCGATTCCAACAACACAATATGGCTTGGAAAATAGTTTGAGAACGAGAATAAACAGCGGTGATGCTTGACACGAGACACACACACTAGTACGCTTCAGTGACTGTGCTCGCGTTCAACACACATTTATACACGCAGCTTTTGGCGAAGTGTGAAAACGGGCCTCCCCAGCAGACAGAATACACAACGACATAACACCTATATCGCGCAGGTAGACGGCCAATAAAACCGGAAGGCCAAGGGCCAGACACCTTTCTTTTACACCTCTGGCCAGGATGTCAACGCAGGAGGATGTCACATGGCGTCGCGCAGCCTAGACATACCGGAGCCTGTCAGCGACCCATCATAAATCAGAGACAGGGGAACCTCAGAACCATAAATCAAAGTCATAAAACACCTTTTTTGACACATGGTTTATGTTAATACTACTCAAACGCCCTGGCAACCACGCAGAACACTTTAGTAATCGCATAGAATACCCTAGCAACTCCCTGGCAACCACCCATTATACGCCAGCAATGCCCTGGCAAACACCTTGGTAACCACAAGACATCCAAGCAAAAAATCACAACACTCTAGCAACACCCTGTCAATCACCCTGAACACCCTAGCAACCACATAGCAACATGTTAAGAACCACTCAGAACAACTTGGCCACACTGAACTCTAACCTGTCCAGTTAGAGTCTGATCGATCAGGAGTTTCCAGCGGATCTTAAAGAGACTCAGACACACACATCAGTCATGTAGAGTTATTGTGATTCGTTACAGAATTATCTATTTCATACCCAGCTAAACCGAACCCACTGAAAATAAACTACTTTCCAAACACCCTACCACCTGTCCGCTTGATCCTATTCCCACTAATCTACTTCAAGCCATTTCTTCCTCAGTTGTACCCGCACTCACGCACATCATAAACACCTCTCTTCACACTGGTACCCACAGCTTTTAGGCAGGCTCGGGTAACCCCACTGCTTAAGAAACCCACTCTAAAGCCAGCACATCTGGAAAATTACAGACCGGTATCCCTTCTTCCATTCGTCACGAAAACACTTGAACGAGTTGTTTTCAACCAGATCTCCTCCTCTCGTACACAGAACAACCTCTTGGACGACAATCAGTCTGGTTTCAAAAGCGGACACTCGACTGAGACTCCCCTGCTCTCGGTTACTGAAGCTCTGAGACTGGCGAGAGCAGCTTCCAAATCCTCAGTCCTCATCCTGCTGGATCTGCTGCCTTTGACACAGTTCCTCCTGTCAATCCTAAAGATGAAGGGCATCTCGGGAACCGCACTCCAATGGTTCGAGTCTTACCTCTCAGGTAGGTCCTTTAGGGTGTCGTGGAGAGGTGTCTAAGACCCAACATCTAGCTACTGGGGTGCCTCAGGGCTCAGTGCTTGGACCACTCCTCTTCTCCATCTACATGACATCACTAGGATCTCTGATTCAGAGACATGGCTTTTCCTATCATTGCTACGCTGATGACATGCTACTCTACCTCTCATTCCAGCCTGACGATCCGACGGTAGCTGCTCGTATCTCAGCCTGCCTGACAGACATCTCTGGCTGGATGAAGGACCACCACCTTCAACTAAACCTTGCGAAGACAGAGCTACTTGTGATCCCGGCCAACCCAACACCTCATCACAACTTCTCCATTCAGCTTGGCTCGTCATCCATAACTCCATCAAGGTCAGCCAGGAACCTTGGGGTTGTAATTGATGATCAATTGAACTTCACAGACCACATTGCTAGAACTGCCCGGTCCTGCAGATTTGCCTTGCACAACATTAGGAGGATCAGGCCCTTCCTATCAGAGCTACACAACTCCTTGTCCAAGCACTTGTTCTATCCAGACTGGACTATTGTAATGCTCTCCTGTCTGGTCTTCCAGCTTGCTCTGTCAAACCTCTGCAACTGATCCAGAAGCTGCAGCCAGAGTGGTCTTTATCGAGCCGAAGAGACACACACGTCGCTCCTCTCCTCACAAAATTGCACTGGTTGCCCGTCGCCGCTCGCATCAAATTCAAGTCACTGACGTTTGCCTACAGAACAACCACTGGCACTGCTCCCTTTTACCTAAACTCATTACTTCAGACTTATGTGCCATCCAGAAACTTGTGGTGCCATCTCAAAGAGGCACAAAATCTCTTTCTCTGACCTTTACCTGGACTGTTCCCTGCTGGAGGAATGATCTGCCTAACTCAACCAGAGCTGCGGAGTCTGTGGCCACTTTCAAGAAACGGCTGAAGAAGCTTCTTTTTCGACAGCACTTGATCCTGTAACACTTTCTCTTCTATTCTATCCAAAAAAAAAAAAAAAAACCATGGACTGCGTTAGATGAAATTGAGAGGGGGTCATAGCACTTGCATATTGTTCTCCTACTGTTAGTTTCACTGCTTCTATTGCTCTCATTTGTAAGTCGCTTTGGATAAAAGCGTCTGCTAAGTGAATAAATGTAAACTCGATTAGAGAAATACTGAATAAATCACGTCGTTGAGCTGCTGTGATGTTTCAGACGTGTGTGAACATGCAGAAGTCCAGGAGCAGAAGAGCACAATGTTCTGCCACACACACACACACACACACACACACACATTCATTCAGAACATACACAACACACACTCATTCAGAACATACACAGTTCGTCAATCGAACCCTGTCACATATGAGTGACTCCAGGATTCATCATGTTCATCATCTTCATAACTGTGTTTCTTTAATAAATCATCGGTCCGCTTCACAGATCTCTCTGGTTTCCCATTACAATATGTGAGTTTATGAATATTTATGAATGTCTATAGGCCTATGGGTGTTGCATTATGTTTCGTCATGGTGATCTGGCAACGGTGTTCAGGTGTGGCACCTTCGTCTGTGTGTGTTGAGTCACTGTCTCACCTCAGACTGGACACACCCCACACACACACACACACACACACACTCACACAGAGCTGAAATCAGTGCCTGCAGGCGGAGAGTTTTAAAACACACGTAACTCTTCATCACAAACACACACACACACACACACAGCTGAAATCGGTGCCCGCAGGCGGAGGGTTTTAAAACACACATAACTCTTCATCACACACACACACACTGTTCAGCAAACACTCAGTAGCTGGTCTGTTTGTTTATGATTTCAGATCTTATTCAGTGATTGTATAAATCAACTTTTAGAGTCTCTGAAACTGACCTAAAACTGCTGGTTAGTTTCCTGAACGACCACAGTACACACACATACACACACACACACACACACTGAATATAGTGTTCATCAGTCTGTATCATAATAATGAATCACGATTAAATTCCATCTCCGTTACTTTGAGGATGTGAGTGTGTGTGTGTGTGTGTGCGCGTGTTGATTCATGTTATGAAGGGTGTGACGCTGTGAGGAAGGGTATAACACACACACACACACACACACACACACAGGTGAGCGGCTCCTGAAATAAAAGCCAAACACACACGGCACACGCTACATTTGAACACATCTCACACACAGAAGTACAGCTTTCACACACACACCGGTGAGTTCTTCACTTTAACATGGTAAAGTAACCCTGGCTTGAGTGTCCTTCAGTTGTGCTTTAAAGAAAGTTGTGTTTTATCCGTTTAGATCGAGATATTGTCCGGATGAAGACGTGGATTTTTCTTTCTTTAGCAGGTTTGTTGTTCAAGCTTTTAATCATGAAGGTTTTGGGCATGTATCAAATTATGAACATCATGTTTTTTTTTAAAGATAATGATATTCTTCATATGTTATGTAAATATTATGCTAATAATTCAGTACAATGGCATATGTGAGTTTTTACCGTGGTAAAGTGTAGGGTTGGAAATGAAAATCAATTTCAAATCTGGAATCGAATACTTGTTATAAAAATTCTGAGAAAATTCACGCTTTCTTCACTGAATAACTGTAACTATATTTGTAATGTATATTTTATTTATAAAGTACAGTGTTATTTTACATTTGATTACAGTTTCTGAACCTGAAAATCTTAAAACAGTTTATTTCAATCGTATCTTTGTTCAGTTGTGTCTATGTGTTGCGATCGCTAATGTTTTATGTGTTCTTGTTTAATGACTGAGTGTTTATTGTGTTTAATAATGCTGAAGTGTGTATTAGTTGGGCGAGTTGTTCTTCTATGGTGTGTTTAAACCTCAGGCAAACGCTGCTTGTGTAAGTGTTCTTCAGCTGATGATTTCTGCTCATGATATTCAGCTGCAGTTTCAGCTTTAGCAATAACACTAGATGTGAACGATGTTTTTTTTGGGGGGGGTTTTTCATCATTGGAATCAAAAGTAGGAATAGATCAAATTCAAACGATACCCACGATACCGTGGTAAAGTGTCGTGTTCTGGTCTCCAGCTCTGTCTGGTGACTTTTACCGTGATTTTACCGTGATAAAGTGCTGTGTCCTGGTCTCCAGCTCTGTCTGGTGAGTCTTACCGCGATTTTACCGTGGTAAAGTGTAGTGTTCTGGTCTCCAGCTCTGTCTGGTGAGTTTTACCGTGATTTTACCGAAGTATAAAGTGTTGTGTTCTGGCCTCCAGCTCTGTCTGGTGAGTGTTGCAGTGATTTTACCGTGATTTTACCATGGTAAACTGTTGTGTTCTGGTCTCCAGCTCTGTCTGCGCTGTGTGTGGCACAGCAGGACTGTGCTCGAGGCGCTTGTTACCCGCCGATGGGCGACCTGCTCATGGGCCGAGAGCAGAACCTGCGCGCCTCCTCCACATGCGGTCTGATGGGGTCAGAGGTCGTCTGCGCTCCACACGGACAGGTGAGGCGCTGGAAACACACCGCTCTTTCAGAAAATGATGACACAAAAAGTCAAAATCAAAATAATTACCAAGTTGAAATTATAACGTCATAATTATGACATTAAAAAGTCGGAATTACAACAAAAAAAATCTAAATTCTGACTTAAAAGTCATAATTATGACATAGAAAGTCATAATTTCAACTTTTTAACTTTTTTTTTATCTATGACTTCATCATAATTGTAAGTTTCAAGAAAAATCTGTTTCAAGGAATCATTATCATCACTATCATCACAATAATTTCACATTTATCTCTTTAAAATGTATATAATTTCGACTTCCAATGACATAATGACATAAAAAGTAAAAATGATAACATACTAAGACATAAGTTTGAGATGAACAGTTGAAATTATGGCTTACAAATTCATAAAAAAATGACATAAAAAGTCAAAATCAAAATAATAACTAAGTTATAATTTAAGTTATAATATAATAAGTTACTTTCATAAATATGACATTAAAAAGTCATAATTACGACAAAAAAAAAGAAAAAATCTAAATTCTGACTTGGTTTGGTTCTGCTAATGAACCACACCCAGAAGAACAGAGTATCAGATGTTTCTCCTCAACCTGTCGACTGTAAATAATCACCCCTGAATCTGAACTTAAATGGTTGTAATTCATGAAAGCTGTGGAATACAAGGTTGGTTGTTTTTAAGGAGACACGCAGCAGATTATTGCAGAAGTGAAAGAACATCAAAAAAAGTGTAAAAATGTTACAGAAGTTTAAGTTTACTGTAAAGCATATGTACTGAACTTAAATGTTGTATTTTACACTAAATATATATTTTACAAAATAATTTAGACTCTAAAATTGCTAGAAAATCAAAGCTGTGTGTTCTAACCGGGTTGTGTTCCAAATTTAAAATTGTTATCACAAAAATTTAGCCACTAAAAGGTTTCAAAGTACCGTTTTTTTGTTATGAATATCTTCATGACATTTAAACATATTTCCCTCTCAAATTCTCATTACAGTTATTAACATGATTCCAAATTATCACATATTTTTATATAAATTAGCAGAATATATGTGTAATATATATATACATAAATAAATGTGTGTGATTTAATATTTATTTTACATTACAGTAATGAGAATGTAAGGGGTAAAAGTGTTAAATTGTCATGAAAATAATATCAAAACACAAAAAAATCTTTGGTTTCACTATCTGTACGAAAATCTCAAATTTCTTATGATTTTAGGGTGAAATATAACTCGAGTTTTCGTGACATTCACTCATGTCTGGTGGTTATGGTTCGCTAACAGCAGTTTTTGAGGCTGATTCATTTCGAGTTGAACGTGTTTATTCATGTTATTGCTGATGGTTTGTAAAATGAAATCTTCACGCAGACATTCTGTTCTCATTAGGACATGATGAGACGTAATAATTAACAAACTCAGATTACCCAGCCTGAGGCGACGCTCATCATCATATGAGACTGTTTTATGCTACATGTCAATGATAATAGAACACATTTTAGCTCTATAATCTTACTGTATGAGTTGGCTCATTGGTGCGTGTGTTTATTTGAGGAGAAACATCTGAGACAACGTTGATACTTAAATGTATGGAAGCCCATTTGCCCAACAAAATCATAATTATGACAAAAATGTGAAATTCTGACTTAAAATTCATAATTAAGACAGAAAGTTTTTTGTTTAGCTCTATGAATTCCCTAGTCATAATTTCACACATTTATTTTGACTTCGAATGACATTATAATGACACTAAAAGATACTAAGTCATAATTATGAGATAAAAATTATGAAATTATGGCTTAAAATTTCATAAAATGAATGACATAAAAAAGTAAAAAATAAAATAAAATGACCAAGTTGAAATTATAACGATCTGACTTAAGGTCCTAATTATGACAGAAAGTTTTTTTTAAGTCCTAATTAATCATCATATTTTAAATGGGCTTCCATGAGATATAGGCTAAATGAGATATAAATAGCCACACAGAGTCCAACTCAATGTCTAAACAAACCGTCTGTGTCCCAGTGGAAGATGAAGTGTTGTCCGTGTGACTCGCGGAACCCCGCGGCCTATAACGCTCACACGATCCAGAACGTGATGTCCAGCGCCGGACCCAACCGATGGTGGCAGTCCAAGAAAGGTACGACATCAAAAACCACATCGCTGACGAAAACACACAACAACATCCTGTCAGCCATTTTGTTTACTTCAGTATCACTTTATGTATGTGTATTCGATATGTTCGAGTTTGGCTAACATACATGTATTTAAAGGACATCATAACGAGAAGTAGCCTACATAGTTTTAAGTGTACTCAATGAATATTTCAACAGTATTTTTTGTAACTAAAACGACAAATTACAATTCGGTCAGCGCATATTTTAACCTCTATGATTTTAATTTACGAAGCCATTGCCAACGGACGATCTGGTCTGAGGGAAGTAACCATGACAACAGCAGAGCGCGGGGAACACCGTTAGGATCAGTGTCGACGAAACATTTTATTGATTTATATTAATTACACCACAGAACTTTGTTTAGTTTAACTTTGAAGTTTATCGCGAGCACAGCAAAACTACTTTATGTTACGTGAAACGAATAAATGGCCTTATTGCTCTAAATCTCACATTTATCTTAGTAAATTTAGTCATCAAAAAGCCACTTTTTATTGTAATATATATATATTGTGAAATATATCCAAGCAATTTCATCTTCGAAGAAACCAAAATCACTTAAGCTATGCTGCATTTTAAGTTTGTGGATTTTCTATGTTGTCAAGATTTAATATTTTATTTAATTATTATTATTTATTAATAATTGGTGCATTTCACCCCTAGTTATGTGCTCTATGCTGTACATTTTTATTTGTTCTTTTTTAATATAATAACAGCAAAAGTAATATTTAAACAAATTATTTAAATGAGGTTTTATTTAACTTTGGTAATTATATTTGTTCAGTTAATGCCGAAGCAAATGTACTTTCTTTCCTATTTACAGTTTACACTACCTAACTCTATTGTTTTAAACATATTCAGTACATACTTTTAATTAAATACTTCACATTTGTTCGTAATTCATAACTTACACAATACAATTTGATGGAAATATGCCAGGAAAACATGTCCGTCATTCCATCATTGAAAGGTTTTCCAGTGTTAATGTGAGTCTGTGTGTGTGTGTGTGTGTGTGTGTGTGTGTGTGTTTATAGTGTTAATGTGAGTGTGTGTGTTTATAGTGTTAATGTGAGTGTGTGTGTTTATACAGTGTTAATGTGAGTGTGTGTGTTTA